TTCTTTTAAGAGAGAATTGTTTTAGTTTTTGCAGGAAATTAATCAGGGGAATGGGCTTTGTGGAGCATGGAGCAAATCTAATCTGTTCTTTGTTCAAATTTGCCTTGCTCCAATTCCTAGCAATTGTAGACAACATGCTCTTTTGTTCAGGAGCCACTTGTTACATGCATAATTAGAGACTGCAGTAGCTGTGTTTAAAGAAAAACTGTTTTCCAATGTAATGTGTGATCTTGATAATAGTATTTTCATCAAAGGTAGCAATTACATTCATTAAGCTGGGACTGGCAAGGCAGCAAGGAAATTAAGTGGAAGGTGAATAAAAAGCTCCCCGTTTCTTTTTAAAATCTCAGTCTCTTTATAAGTTGAAATGCACCATGTTGAGCTGCAAACTGGAAAATACATACTGAATATAAAAAAAGAAAGAAAGAAAAAAATAAAGTCCTCCTTAACCTTTCTGAATAATGATCCAGAAGATATCCTAGGGACACCTACTATAGATGCACTTTTCAAATTAAAGGGCTTTATTCTACATTAATTTCTTATGCAAGTTTTAAACGAGCTCAACATATGATTCAGGTCTTTAAAGGCTCCAGGGCTCTCTAGGATTAATTCACTGTTCTTTTCACACATAAATTAATTGTTTTGTGTTCTCAAAAACAGCAAACAGCACATAAATCAACCAGTTTAGAAAAGACGCAAGGCTGGTACCTTTTGCAAATCACTGAAGTTTGCTATTTACACTTCATTATTATAATATGTAACTTTTAAAGAAAAAGCTGGAAAAGTAGGACATATGTTGTTAATTCTAAGCGGATTTCTTGAATGCAGAACTCATTTTAGAGATTTGATTCCTTGAAAGACAAAAGTTGTGGGGCACTGAAAAGCCATTCTTCCAGCACTCTAATTTTATTTTTCCCGGTTAATAATTCAATTACACATCACTAATGTATTCGCAAACATTCCCATGTAAAAATAGCTAGGGGTTTTTGGTTTTCCCGCCCTCTTTTTGCCTTAAGCCTTGTAAGAGTGAGATTTGCAGATGGAAAAATGTGAAAATCTAAAGACATGAGCCCTGGAGCCCCGGGAAGGCTGTGCCCAGCCCGTGGGCTCCCTCAGGCACTCCTGCTGAGCGCACGCACAGGAATCTCATTTTTTTACTCCAAAATATAATCCTCCTTTTTTTCCGGGCACTGTATCGCAGGCTGAGAAGCAGGGGGAAGTGGCTCCATCCCCTCCTAACTGGCTGCCAGGGCAGCACATCACTGCAGAGAAGTCGCTACTTCAGATGAGGGCTGAGCCCTAATTCTGCAAGCAGGCAAAACACCCCATTTAGGGATCTCAGCAAGTGTCAACCAAAGCAGATGACATTGCAGCAAGTCTAATTTACAAGCACTTACAGCAGGACAGGTACCGAGAAGCAGGCGATAACAGGTACTGTGCTCCCTCCTGAACAGGGATGTCCCAGCACGCTCTCATCTCAAGGCAAGAGAGAAAAATGAAGCCAGAACCTTGGCTATCCGTAACTCCAAAACTAACTGCTTCTCCCTCTGCCCTTCCCAGAAATAGAATATGAAACCACAGCATCTTGGCCAAATTGGAATTTGCATAGTTCTGCGAAGCATTTCCTTCAGTTAGGAATGATTTAATTATTCTTCACTTCCTCTTCTAGAAATCATTCCTGGATAATGAGGTTAGCATAGAGCAGATATGTTTCAGTCAAGAAATAGATGTAATTCAGTGCCAGAAGGCTTTTACAGTTCAAAAAAAAAAAAGATTTTTGGACACTTCTAAATAGAAGCAGCAGTATAGAGAAAGTTGGCTATTAAATTATAAGTCTGAGACACCATCATCGGGTGCTTTAACCCAGTGCTGTGTCAGCCCCCTGAAGAATTAGAGGACAACCACAACTCTCTTGCGGCCCAGATTCTTACACAAGGGTAACAAGGCACATTTTAAATAATTATTAAATAATGACAAGCTATTATTACCTCCAGAGAATTGTTTATCTCTGCAAATTGAATCACTGAAGTCAAAGCACAGTAGAGGTAAAATACTTCTAGTATAAAATGGGAGACCTACTGCTGCACCTTACTTTGGGCCTTGGAAACTGTGAATCCTGCATGGCAGTCAAATATATTTTATGACAAATAGCTTTCTGAATCTAGCTTTTATTATTCAAGCAACAATCTAAAAAACCTGCCATATCAATCAAATGTAGACATTGCAGCAATTAAACTGAGAAAATTACTTTCTTTTTAAAGCTTGGTTGGACAGACATTGAGAAGACCAAAGTAATCTGGAATTTAAGGCGGCAGCATAACAGTTTGCGTTTGATAAAAATCATACAGTGGAACACAAGGAATTTTTCTCTGAACATGGGGAAGACTATGAACGTAAATACAGCCTTCATATCATATTACCATCTTCTAGTACATAATAGGGAGTCATAAAACATTTTCAAAGTTCAAAAAGTGCCTGAGCTGAAAAAAGTGCTTTGCCTCAATTCTTACGGGAACAATTGGAGCAAATGCTACATTTGGTGTGTAAACATTCTCCATCTCAGCAACAGAATGTCTAACATTTTCTTTCTAAAACAAACAGCATCAGCTTTTGCACTAAAACACATTTGCTCTGTACCAGCTATATCTGCAACAGCTCCATTAACAAAACAAGTTCTACAGAGCTTTTCAGTACTTAACTACATTTCCAGAACCTTAATTTCCAAATTATTCCTCAATTATTTTTAGGTCAGTTTAGCAGAGTTGACACAAAGCTGTTCTCTACCAGATAAAATGCAAAAAAAAAAAAAAAAGCAAAATGTTGTGCCTGTAACTTGGTATCACTTCAAAGTTGGCTTTTTCGCTTCAGCTGGTCCTTTAGCTGGTGTTGGGTGCATGATACAGTAACTCCATAAACAAAGTTATATCAGATAATGCTTTTTAGCATAAATAACGTTTGCAGCTTCTGGGACTCTTAACCTTTCAGAGTCTCTGCTTTTTGTATCCCTACAGATAAAAAAATATCCAGAGAAGCTAGTGTCTTTCTAAAATGTAATCATCACGTCTTTAGGTACCATCTAAACAAAGGCAGAAAACCTCAGCGACACAGTATCAAATTAAAACTGGATGACTGCTCTGGTTATATTGAAAAATTTGCATTTAATTTGCATATTAAAGATGCAAATTAGTGAATACAAAAATCTTGCGGCATGTCCTAGAAAATAATTCAGGCCAAAAATATCCAAGAAACTTGCAGCAAAGTAACCAGATGACAAGGATGATCAGAAAATTGTTCTGTTCATCTGATGGGTGGGTCATTGTTTAAAAGTCTTGGCTCAATGTTCGTAAGAGAAGGCAGGAAACAACCCCTCAACCAGGAGGACGTCAGCTCTGGATGTGTGTATCAGAGCTTCTTGTTTCCTACAAAGTGGAGACCCCACCAGAGACCTTCTGCAGGCTCCAAAATGGAAACTTTTCAAGACCGAAACAATCAAACTTACAGGATCCAGAGAGGCACGGGATACAAACTCAACGTGAACCCATCATATTGCAGCTCCACTCTTCCCTTCGTTCTCTCTACACTAGGAAAGAAAGTCGTCTCATAGCTGGCAAACACTAAGGCATTTCTTGATCTGCCAACTTGCATTTGGCCCTAAACCAAACAAGCAGTAACACTCCATTTCAGCTCTTCCCACCGGTGAGCACTTTCCCACCATGACCCTCCAGCCATCGGTACAGATGAAGCGAAGCTCATTTTAAGTCTTGCTAATGTCTGCAAGTTGGTTTCTCTCCTCTGTAAAACCTACCCAAAGCAGTCCAGCCCTGCCTTATCTGGTGATTTGTAACAGATGTTTTTAAAACTGTCCCAAATTGTGACAATGGTTTGTGCAACACTTCAAAGAGACTGTCAGCAGACCTCCAGACCTGCTGGTTAGAGAGCAGAATTTACTTTTCAGACCATATATGCTAATTTCCTGGTTAGATGACCCACAAATACACAAGCTTGCACTGTGGAAGTTGGGGATTTATTGCTGTATTTTAGGTTTTCCTGTTGCTATTAGATTTTTTTTTTTTTTTTTTTTTTTGGTAAGAGAGTGGTTACAGCTTGTAATAGCTTTCCTTTCTTCAGAGATCCTTGCAAAATGTTTGATGAACATGTTTCTGCATGTTCAGAAGTCCTCATTGTATATATTAAATAAACCCAGTTCTGCAAGTGCTGGTTACTTGGCTATTGACACAGCTTTCTGTCAGGTGGGAGTGCTTTTTCTTTAGGATCTTTAGAGAAGTGACCTTCAGATTTCTTTGTATGTATAGTCTTCCAGTATTAGTAGTTCTACAGCTAGTAAGACACACAGAGGAAGAATAGTTTCAGAAAGATGTAAATGAACTTGAAAGAATATATAAAAATGCTACTATTGCTGCCTTACATATTTTTGATTTGTATTTCAAAGCATTTTATCAGAAAAAATGTTACATTATACATTGCATGTTCTTTTCAACGTTAATATACCAATACAAATCAACATTTGAATGCTCTGACCTACGAAACAAGCTATTAGGAATCACAGTGGTTAGTTCTAGTCACCTAATGTATTAGACAGTTATTGCACATGAACAGAATATTTTTAGAGGATAATAAACGCCAAGATTTCAAAGCAGCTTAATAATGTCTCTAGTATCAGATAATGAGAAATTCCCTCAATGCTGCTAAGCTGGACTTTGTTAATTATGGCGACTGATCTTACAACTGGCATATTTAACCGAAATAATTACTGTAATTCCTATTTGTTAGCGTGGAACTCTGGATTCACTATGCATTGATGTTTGACCGTCTCTGGTGTGGGCTCAGAAAGACCTCTGGTATCCTCTCATCTGTGTGTACAATCAACCACGCTACGTAACTCTGGACAGTCAAATCCAGAAGAGTAAGACTTCCAGCCATGCTCTCTCACCTGGACCTAGACCAAAGAGTTACACTTCAGAGGAGAAGACAACTCTTAGCAAAACGCTCTGCAATGACTGTATTTCAATACAACATAAAATGACAAATCACGTGAAAATTCTTTGGGAATCATACAATACATGTTCATCTGCTCGTCAGCTCACTTGATTTGTGCCTCCGCCAACAGTTTGCACCGTGATAACAGAACGGGTAAATATTTATGAAGTATTTCTGGTAGCTGTTAACCACTTTCATGTAATTCTCTTAGGAGAAGATCTATCACAGTGGTACACTGAATACATTCTGGGGTTGAGAAAAAACGTTTCTTCAGCTTTCATGTATTCAATAAGCAAGCTCAGGAAAGTCAGACAGCTGCTTTCGAACCAGCCTGTGTTTCAAATCGAGCTTAGCTTGGTAGGAAGAACTTGAAATGTGTCTCTCACCAAAAGATTTCTAAATGGAAATGCAATAACATGTTAATTAGAAAATTCTTTACATAGTGAAAGGCTCCCAGTGAACAATTACTTTATATTTCACATAAGCCTTTTCTAACACAATCTTTATATGGGGAAAAGAAAATATGAAAGAAAAAACAACAACACAGAAAACATCATATAAAATGTTGTATTTGAGTATTTCCCATGTAGCAATTAAACCTTTCTGTGGAAACCTGCCTCAGACCTTTATCACAAACCACAATAATACTAAAGAAACCTGATAAAAGATACATTCATTCTCTCCCAGTACAAAAATTGCAAGATCTGGGACACAATTTAAAATGACAGATTATTAGACAACCATCACCTGATGTACAGGATTAGCACTGTATTGTCAAATATAAAATTCAGGCACTTTTATTACATTCTCAGTACAGGTCTTTTCTGCTAACTGTGGGAGCCCATTTGATACTGAAAAATGCTGTTCCAGGGCAATAGACTAGATTGACTGGGCTCACTAAGGGCATATAAAGGGAAAACTCACTAATATAAATGCATATGGTGTATAAAGCAACTTTGAATCCTGTCATTAGCACAGAAAGCCTCATAGTGTTCACGACGCCAGCTCTGCAGCCCTACACCTACTGGTGCAGCCAGCCACCGTCAACAGCCCTGTGCTCACAATGCCAAATGCAGAAATGCAATTTATGACAATCCATAAATGCCTGTCCCAAACTGAACAGGGGGTGGGCAGCACAGGCAGCTCTTAACAGCTCCTGGACAACAGCACAGCCCATCTTATTACTAAACCAACGTCTGTGTTAGTGCAGCAATGGAATCAGACTTAAGGGGATGAAACAAGTTAATTCTTGCCAGAGTCGGCGACAGAATAGCCAATGCTCTCCACAGTGGTACGTGCCCTTTTAAAACAACGATAAAAGAAACTCCGTGGTTATAATTAATTTGTATGCATATTCCTCCACAGAATTTCGTAGTCAAAAGTCAAATACAATACATACATTTCTTTCAAAAGTTACTGTGTACAGAATACAGCATATAGAACTGAGACACGTGAAATATTTACAGCTGTAACATTAGTTAAAGACTTGGCCTTGCTTTTCTGAGAAGAACTGTTGAGTAGCTGATGAGGTTGTTCAGGTTGTTTCCTGGACTATGGCATCTGAGTTCAGACTGTAGGAAATCACATGATTTTGATTTTTTTCCTCATTATTTTTTCAAATGGATACCTGACGCAGTTCTACAAAAAGAGATAGTCCTTTTACATAATCCTGGATATCCAGCCTTTAACAGTCCGTCCTTCGAAGAGCTCTGCACTTTCCTTCATGAAGGGTTTGCTTTTAGCACTATATTAAGTCAGTTAAGTATTGCCACTCGCTTCCTAGCCTCATGCAAAACTGCAGAAGCCAAGCTAAGGTAGTATCTCAAACTAGGGGACCTATTAAACAGTATGAATCAAAACCTGATCTCTGCTGACACTCATGTTAGCAAAGCAGGCTAAACCACAGCAGCTAAGGACTGCCTCACATTAGCGCAACTCATCACAGTAATCAACGCTGACTCAAGCATTTTGTAGTATGGTTATGATAATTTTAGACTCGCAGACAGACTGTGTTGAGCAGAATAACTGTAGTTAACTGTTGCGGTGTCTGTAGTCTTAATTCTAGTCTAACATCTCCCCAGCCGTTTCAATTGAGCTGAAAGAAAGCCTGCAAACAACCTGAAATGCATTAATAATGATAATGATGATGATAATAATAATAATAATAATGCTAGAAGAAAACTTCAGAAATCATCTAGTCTACCCTCCTACTCTTGTATTTTTGAAAATCTCAAAGCTGTTGATCAAACTGATATGGGAGGGGCTTTTTTTATTGGCATAAGGATCATTACCACATTAATTCTTCGCCTATCAACAGGCAAAGCGTGTATGTAGGGGGAGTAATTCACTAAAGTAGTTACTTCCCTTTGAAGCTGACAGAAAGTCAGAAAACTTTTTAATAGAGCTTTTCCTCCTTGCTTGTTTCTTTGTATAAGGCACTGCAGCCTGCTTTTTTTACAAATTCTTACTTGTTAAGTGTCATTTACCCTAGTTTTGCTAGAAAATCCTTTGGGAGTCTCAGCCTGTAACATTCTAAGCTCCACTCAAAGTGAATCATCAGTGACTAGCAAGCTTTAAAAATGAGATTCTTCTAAGTCAGCCAAAACCAGAAAACCAATGCTTCCCTCCCAAAACCACTCAAAACAAATTGTCAATTACAGCAATTATAATGATTTTTCATATATTAAGCTTTCCGTCTCTTTGATTCTTAGTTAATTAGCTCTCCAGCACTGAAGAGGTTTCTGCCATAAATAAAATGTCTAATTTTAAAGTAAACAGAGAGGGATAAAAAAGCAAGTACTTCTTACCCCCCCCCCTTCTCTCTCTTTCAAAAGGAGAAAAACTTTGCTAGAGAACCACTAACTTCCATGAGTGAGTTTTCTAGGCTGCAAATTAACAGTCCCTCCCTAACTCCCAGGAAGGCCCTGAGGATTAAAGTTTGTAAAATGCATTGAACGTGGAAAGGCCACTGTGAGGTAGTATCACAGCATTCCTATCACCTAGCTTATATCTCTGTCTTTTGCACAACTACTAGAGCTTTTTTAACGCCATTTCACAAAGATTTCAACTCAACCTTTTATGAAAGGAGAACTGTAAATAGCCTCTTAGATTAAAACCCTTAACAGCTGAGAAGGCTGGAAAGGGAGGCAGATATTATCCACCTTTCAGTACTACAAATTGGGGCTGGAAGGGCTTAATTACCAAGATATACTTAAGAACACACTAAGGGCTGCTATAAAAATTACTCCAGTTACAGCAGCTCCACAGACATCGCTCCACCTGGGAGAGAGGAAGCCATCACTCTTTCCACATACCTCACCTGTACCCCATGCTAATAAAGGGCATCACGAACAAACAGCAGCTTCACGCCATGCAACAGTTCTGCAGCACGTGTAGAGTCCTTTCTCCCAGGTGGCTTAACAGAACCTTTCACACCAGGCAAGCCAAAGATTTGGCTTCTTTTCACTTCGAAATCTCAAAGTGGAGATACACTGTTTGTATAACCTAAAGCAACAAAATACTTTCAGCCAATGTGTCAGCTTAGAAGTGTCTCAGGCAGAAAGAAATACTTTTAACCCATGATTTTGATTTGAATGTGGAATTCACAATTTTGCATGAATTACACACTCACTGTCCTGAAATGGGGAATTCATGGTTTTCCTTATGATTTTGTCTGTGATGATGTATTCTTCTTTATGGTTTTTATCATTACAAATAAATGTGTAATTCACAATGAACGTTTAGCAAAATAATTTCTGTTAACAGTCAAGAAGTCCTTATGGTTTCAGTACTCCTGTGCTAAGCTTTTTGCAATGGTGCTCAACTGGATATTTGAAGTTCCTTCATATATTGTACCTGAAATCAGAAGAAAATAAATTAGAAGACTATAAACCTACAGTGAGTATATGAAGAGAGACGAAGATCTTGTTCTAACAGTCCAGTTAGAACATTTACAATTATGAAGTGAAGCTTTACTGATCAAGTTAGAGAATTATTATTTACATAAATGTTCATATTTTATTATCTGCAACAATTAAAATACTTTTCTGCAGGTACAACATAATGACAAGACATTTTCCTGAAAAGCATTTCATAAATAACCAACAAAATTTAAATATTTACAAATGCTATCAGTAATAACAGTCAAAGGGTAATATTGTTAGAAATGTCAAACTGTTAGGTCCAAGGATTGTAATGGTAAACAAGGAAGTCTTGAAAATAAAACTCCACAGAGATTCAGACCTTAAAGCCAAAGAAAGTATTTTCAATTTTTTTGAACTGGAATTTTCTTAACAGAATGGGACACAACGTGCGTGTTTGTATTTTACTGGTACCTAATTAAACATTTTAACTAGCCTTACATACACGGATATTTATAACTAAAGTTTTACCTTCCCATATCTGAGCCATTGAATCAGTGTTGATTACAGTCTCAGGGAAAAAACATCTTAAAAAAAATAGCCAGTCATTCATCCTCAAACTTCAATACTACTAATGCTACAAGAAATACTTGTTAAGAAACTATCACTCACCTATCTTGCAGTCACGATAGTACTTTTCTATTGGATAATTTTTTGTGAATCCAACGCCACCCATCCATTCAATACATTTACTAGTTGTCAGTGTTGCAACCTATGAAAATAGCTTCAGAGTTACAATTTCAGGATTCAACTTCATGCAGGTGGTAGTAAATTTTATTCTTTGTAGCTATTTAAAGCAAAAACAAAACAGTAATTAAAGCAGTAACTAGAACAAGCGGGAAGAGGAAGGACTGATATTTTTGTATTCATCTTATTTATGCAAGTTATTTTAGAATAAAAATGACATTTTTCTAAATCAGAGGACATCAAGAATTCACTATCCATTACTGCAATAGTTCACGTGCTGCACTATGAAAAAGACTAGCAGCGGTATACACGACAGCAATTACAAAGAGGCAGAAGCAATCCAGTTTTGAATCATGTTAAGACTCACAGTTGTGACCAGCAGAGTTGAAGTGTTCACAAATGAAGTCTCACCATGCCATATTCTCCAGCCACAAAAAGAGAATTCTGAGAGAATGAAATCTCTCTAGATGAGTGAAAATACTAATTTACTTTCTCTTTTAACGTTGTTGCTTGTTTTTCAAAATTTTATTTAGGGGCATGAGCAGTTCATTCTTTGGTGGCCTACTTTACATTCCGTACATGGACTGAGAATGAGAAACAAGGTAAAAGTACATCCACAGATCTCACAGCAAAACGTGAATTAAAAGTTATACATTCAGTAACAGAAGAAATGTTTAAACAGCAGTGAAATAAATCCACTGAATAAAGAAACTGCAAGTTACCTCAGCAGCATAGTATTTGGCCATGCTGGCCTCCTTTATGAATGGCCTTCCTGTTTCCGCAAGACGGGCTGCGTTGTAGGTCAGCAACCTCGCTGCCTCCAGCTGTGTGGCTACCTGAGCTATTTGATGTTGCATCCCCTGCAATAAGCACGCCACAAGTCAGACAGAACCAGTATCTAGTACTCAGCTGCAATTTCTAGCAAAAACCGTTCTTTTCACCAAGGAACATACCTACACTCTAAAATAAAAATACAAAATCTAGATGGACTAGTAAGTCTGCACATCTCTGCATCTATGACATGGATGTTGGAAAACCTCTGGGCCACCAAAGTCTTTTTAGGAACTGCACTCCCATTTTCTCCTTCCCTCTTCTTGGATTCAGGAGTACTAGGGAACTTCTTGCCTGACTGGCTGGACAGGAGGGTTCAACATGAACCTATTTGCACCCATGAATATCAAGGAAAATTTCAGCCAAATCTTAACGTTCTCCTCAGCACTACAGAGACATGGGTAGGTCAAAGCTGTGAGCTTAACTGAGAAAAACTTGAAAAAAGTACCTATTAAATAAAGTGGAGAAATACCAAGGTGACAACCACTTCTTCTCATGTCCCATAACCATGAGACAAGAGTTAGGAGCAGCATAAAAGTCTAGAAAATGTGTCTGAAGAATGGATTCAAAGGGAAGGAAGAAGGTGATGGAGCTCACCTCTAAATGGTAGGTATTACAGAAGAATAGGTTTATTTAAGGAGACCCAAACATGATGATTGAAAATGAACATTTAGTTGTCTAACTTGCTCCTAAAACACAATGGAATCTTTCATCTTATTAGAACATTAACACTGCTCCCTAAAATTTGCAAAAATATATATGCAGGTCAAAATAACAAAACGATTTGGCAATTATAAATTCCATTTCCCATTCAAAAGATGCAGTTCCAATAATTTCCTAGATATCTGTGGGTGCTTCCTAAAATTTGTATAAATTATGAGTAGTACTAATGTTCCTTCCCTTCATCTGAGATGTAGTTTTCTTTTAACAAGAAAATTACTACAGTAATTACAATTATATATCTTCTTTATTAAACTATATATAATTTTTGCAACAAAGAGTCTTTTTCGTTTTAAGATACAGATATTATCACGAAAACTAAATGTCTTTGTATAACACAGGAAATCTAATAATTCAATCAGCTTTCCTCATCTTTTTATAATTTCTAGTGTCTCCAGAAAAAGGCCTTCCCCTACACCTCATGAAAGGGTATAAAAACTGGAACACATTCAACATACTGTGATATTAAAAGCAGAAGAGAAAGGAGTTCCATGTGTATTATTTTCAAAGGCAGTGAAAACAGTATCAAGGAAAAGGAGTTATGTTAATAATGTTTTGAAATTTTAAATGATTTATACAGTACTTGTAAAGGCACATAGCACTGAATTTATATATTTTACATGGCCGATGAACGCTTATCTGAAATTCTTTTGAAAAATTCTTCTCAAATATTGAGAAGTAGAGACATGACACAAGGTGGAGCACAAATTATGCAAATCAGATTACTCATTTTACTGACTTCATCTACTGTGGTAACTACTACTCTCTTGGAGGAAACTTCCCATGTGTTCATTAACAAGTACCTGGAAATCGAATACGCTTTTCCCAAACTGGACTCTCTCCTTTGTATAGGGAATCGTGTGGTCAAAACACCCCTGTGCCAGTCCTAACATCTGTAAGAAATAAGACATATTGAGATGAGTTAGAGCAAAAAAAACCCCAAACTTTGAGGAATAAGCCTATTCCATACTATTCTATTCTTGAAAGAAACTTTCTTACTACAGGCAAAATATTTGTGAAAACACTATCACTAATTTTTGAACAAAAGTTATGGGTCAAATGTGGTTGCACAAATATTAAGTGTTTCTGGCAACATTCTTAATTACATGGGAAAATTACTGTAAACTAAAGATCTATAGATCTACATTACACTATTAAAGGAAAAATAATTTCAATGATTATTCAAAGCTATTTTCATAATGAAAATAATTTCTCATTTTATAGAAGACACCAGACTATCCGTATTAGCAATTTATTTCAGAAGTTAGAAAATTAGTATAGTAGAAGGAGACATAACATTTGTTCCAGCATTTTCTAGAAAAAAACTAACTCAAAAGAACAATTTTAGAAGACCCATTGTCTTTTCATACACTCTCTTCACTCAGCAGCAAAGACAGCAAAACACAATTGTTATCTTGGAGGATAATGTCTGGGAAAACGACACATGAACATTTATAAAGAAGTAATTTGCATCTACCCTAGTGTCTGATTTGTTAGCCTAAAGAAACATTAAGAAATATGGAAAGTAAACTAGTTTTACTGTTTTTTAACTACCAAATTTTGAGAAGTATATTCCATTCCAAACAAGATAGTAAAGAAAGGACCCTGCCTTTCATATATCTTGGAATATATAGCTATTAGTAAATAAGATCAGTTGGTTTCATTATATAACTACCATCCATCTGAATGCATTCATTCTACCTAGTTTCTTTCCTAGGAAAAACAAAGATAGGAAATTAGATTAGGGGAAGCATCAAACAAGAAAAAATAAAAAAAGGGAAATGAGTGGCATGAAGAACTACCAAAAATGGTAACAGCAGTATATGGTAAAATTGGACTCTCATAAAACTTTTCTAAGTCAAGACGGGATTCTATAATGTGGCAGTCAGCTGTCACATCAAGCAGCTTAGTCAAACTACTTTTAATGATGTACAATATTGTATGGGTATTTTTGGATAGACCCATGTATTAAGCTGAAAGCCAAGGGTCCCAAGAATATAAAAACATGACTCTGACTGGGTTCAGACATCTACTCCTTAATTGTTTAAGATTCTAGAAAAAAAAAACACAATACACAGGAAAATGAGTATGTGGGAAAAGAATATAAGAAAATAATAGTCTGCTGCTAATCAGATTTGTTGCCTTCTTATGTAAACTCTTACAGATGAACCAAGTATATCAACTTCAGCAACTGTAACAATATATGCAGCTACCTTGCACTAAAACTATCTGAAACTGTTTTCATAGCCACAATTACATTTTATAAGGTGTTCATTATATTTTAAAACTATTACTACTGCAAAACTAAATTCAATACTACAGGGCTTTAGAACTGCTGTTCTTATACATTCAAGTACATTTCTCTTGATTTGAAGGTGCCAAGAAAGTAGTAACTAAGATATAACAAGTACCTGACCTTAACTTTTAATTAGGTTATAAGCGTAACTTGGAGTAATTAAGAGTAAAATCCAGACCATGTATTTTACTGTCAGAGTCTCTACATTATTTATATCTCCGGGAACAACAGGGCCCACAGCCCTAGTTTTTAAATGCCATATCAGACAAAGTTTAATCACAGACAATCTTTAGGAATGATGGAAAAGCCAACCCATTTAGCAGCATAGTATACTGCCATGTGGAAAGTCTAAATTTCGTAAGGACTATTACTTCTGGTCTGTTTGCAAACTAGGGCAAGAGGTATCAGAGATTGGTAGTACAGACATATTACACAGCACAACTACATGCACAACAAAGTAGAAACCAAGAAAAGATTACTTTCAAAAGTAAACTAAAAATATAAAAACTTGTCACAAGTCATTTTATTATAGGGCTGAACCTGATTTCCACTGAAATCAGCAGGAATCTGAGATCCAAACTGAATTTACAACAAAATACAACATTTTGAAATAACTCCAAGGTCAGCAAATATTTTCCCCTAAGATGCCATAAGGTGCAATTTTCAAACACAACAATGAACTAGGACCCTTCTGCTAGAAAAAGTCATATTTATTTTAAAAATAAGCTGACTTTTAAAAATAAGTTGTTGGGAAAACATCAGTTAGCATAAGGTCACATTTGGCAATCCCATACAATCACAGTTGGAAGCATTAATATCATACATTTCAGTGTGTTATATTTTGCAAAGCTAATTTTCTTTGCAAAATAAATTTGCATAATGGAAGATAAAAATGTTGACATATTTCAGCAGCAACAAGTTAACCACCAAAGACAAACTAATTGCCATGTAATTTTTTCTAAATCTATTGCTTATGTCACCAAAGGAGAATTTTACCATTTACAGTTGTTTCAGTATTTTACCGTAACTTAGATACAAGAATAGTGACATCTAGTGGCAATTTAGTTTTTAATAAAGTATTTTCTAAATAGTTTATTCTTATTAGCTTTAAATATTTTGTAAATGTCAATCCAAATTCAAAGTTATATACTGGTTGTATTCAGTATTAAACAAAATTACCCACCTGTGCAGCGATACCTATTCTGCCAGTATTTAGCATTCCAATTGCATACTTATAGCCTTTTCCAACCTGTCCCAGGATATTGGTCTCAGGAACCTAAAGAATAAAACCACTCAATTATTCCTCTTCTATTCTGCTTTGCAACTGCTAGTACAGTTCACAGGTGAATCACTGTACATGTTTTATTTAATGTTCTTCGTAAGTGACGGCATAAAACATAAGCCAGACATTTGATTCCTAGAATATCTGATTAGAACATTTCCTGATACATGTGATTATAAACTGATGATTGAGAAAAACTGTACCAAAATTTAAGAAACCCAACCCCCCTCAAGACTTCTGTGAAAGAACAGGGAGGAAAAAGTTAAAATATGCCAAACAATCAGCATGTCTAAGGAAAAAAAAATATTGGGAATTTAGTTAACATTCTTTCCTTATACGTGGTCAAGCTCCAATTATACACAAATTATGCTTCAATAGCTAAACAACTTACACTACCTTAACGTTTTCAAATGTTACTGGGCAGGTAGAAGACGCTCTGATTCCAAGCTTGTCCTCCTTCTTCCCTACATGTAGTCCCTCTGTGTTGCGATCTACTATGAAGCATGTAATTCCCCTGTACCCCTAGGATGAATTAAAAATTAATCAAGAACTGTTTTTTATACTAAAATCAACAAATGGTGGTCTAAATATCTCATTCCAGTACCGAAATTTTACACCTGCTTAATACTGTATTACGAAATAAAATACCTGCACAGTCATCTGTTCCCTCTAAGTCTGCTAATTATGGTTTAACAAAGGCCAGAGATACCTTCCTATTAAAATACTCCATGTGGAAAACATCATCAGAACAACCTTAAAAGTTCTTTTGATAAGGCAGGGGACTGATATTATGTAAATGAAACAGACAGGACTGTAGTGCCTGTCTGTACTGGAAATCACTGGGAAAGCCAGTTATTGCTGTGCAGTGAAGTTACTGCTTGCTGTTGGAACATATGTCACAGTCAAACAGTGGAATGCAAGAAGACATAGGGTATCTTTAGACTAAAGTGGTCAAATGAATAACGGCTCTAAACCCATGTCAGATGATTCTATAGGATGCAAGATTTTACTTAAGCCCAATTACTTCAGCTACTCTTCTCATGGAAGGCTGCGTGTATACTCTTCCTTTTAAGGTTGTCCAAGTAAGAGCACTGACTGATGAGACTGGAGTCACTGGGAACTGTGCTTGAATATTCAAAGTGCAGTATAACGGTAAGCGTTTCTCATGGTTTAACCTCAGTCGGCAACCGAGTACCACACAGCCGCTCGCTCAGTGTAATAACAGACCTAAGCTAACACCCAGAATTGGTGCACACATTCTCCTTGTGATTCCAGTTTGCAGAACATTGATATCACTGTCTCTTCACTTCAGAGAGGTAGTGGGAATATAATTAATAAAGTAGTCTGAAATCATTATGATGGTTGTTATCAAAAATCTCAAAGAGCTGATTTGGTATTCACATAACGATTTGGACAGGACACTAAATAATGCATGTGACAACACACAGATTGTATAGCCAATCTAAATTCTGGCATCTCCTACATACAGGCTTACAATCTTCACATCTTTAAAGCCTTAAACTAGATTCTTGAAGTAGAGAATGGTGATTCCTGATAGCTGTCGCTTTCTCTTTTTCCCTCTGTGTAATTCTTACTCCCAATTCTCTCTCCTCTCCACCACTCATTCTCGCTCCCTCAGCATTTCCCCCAGCCAGAACCACAGCAGTCTCTCTTACGCAACATACTACAAGGTCTATGAGACAGAAATGTGAGGTGTTCCTGGCCATGTTTCCAGCTCTTCCTGTCCCTAACATCCACAGCACCTCCTCTCACTAAGAGGGTGACACCGAGAGGCAGGAAAAGTCCCGTGGTTCTTCTGGAAGGGTTTGCCTCTTATTAAAGAGAAGGCTGCTGTTTCAATCTCACCTCAATGACAGCCCATCTCACCAAATGGGAGCTGCTAGTGCAGAGTGTACATTTCAGTACACAATTCTACATTGGTCTGTTCTCTCATTTATACTGATGTCAACTGTTATTTAATCTTTGAGCAGCACTGACTTTTAATCTCCTTCTTGAATATTTAAAAGCAAATTTCTAACTCTAAGAAGACAATGCATTATATATTTTTAAAATGTTACACTAATACAGAAACAACTCCAGATTATAAGACAATGCACAGCAGTTAACAAATATAGAAACTGGCTTATCAAATACATTTTCATTGTATGCAGTACTCAAATCGCCCACCAGCTTGTGAAGAAATCAATAAAAACTCAGAAAGTGACACGATACTCAACTGTTCGATACAATGAAAGAAAAATCCCTCTTCTTATTTAGTCAAAACCTGAAATTTTAATTTAAAATATAAATATGTTCAAGTTAAATTTTTAAGAAAGAGATACTGGAAGAAATTTAAAAAATAAATAAAAGTTTTAAACAATTAAGTTTTGTATTTGATTATCACTCTACCATACTGGTATAGTACATTTTAAAGCCTGCAGTTGACTTTTCTGAATCTACTACCAATATCCAAATTGGTGACAAAACTTGAAACATGCATATTCAGCTAAGTATTTTTTTTTACCTGAACAAGCTTTGCTGTTGTATTCTTGTTAGTTTTCAGTGCATGTAGCCTAAGCTCTATTTTGCCTTCTAACAACAGCAACTTGTCAGTTAAGTCAGAAGGGTTGGAAAGACTTAGACTATCTGTTCTTCCATTACTCAGAATAATACCAATGCATGCTGTGCTCTTCATCTAAGCAATTATGATTCTGACATTTTTATTTTCCCTGGTGGGAGGAATTTATTAAATTGCTCACCAAGTTCTCAATTTTTGTTGGAAAATATTTTTAAAGGTAATATTTTTAAATATTTTAGCTGTCAGCTAGGAAAAGGTTCAAAGAATATTAACCTTTAACATCAGATTATTAATATAAAATCCAGTTTCATATATAATCGGCTGTCACTGAAATGCAACTATTGTTTAGCAACTTACTAAGGACGGATCTGTATTTGCCATCACAAAGAAAACTCCTGCGTGTTCTGCTAAGCTAATCCACATCTTTGAGCCATTGATAATATAGTAGTCTCCCTTCTTTTCAGCCCGAGTCTTCAAAGAAAAAGCATCGCTGCCAGATCCAGCCTCCGAAAGACAGAAACTGCCTATCTGTCAATTGAAGGGAAAAATTAATTTTATTTTTTACGGAACATATAGGCACAACATATAACAAATATTACATATAACATATAACAAATATTACAATTACAATACAAACATATAACAATTCTGCAAAATAGTTATAAACAAGCACAAGTCTCTTAAATTCAAACATTTTAAACTATTGCATCAAAGTAACTAAGTTTCAGATATGGAGATTAAGAATAGAAACACTATGTAATTACATGTCTCTCAAAGTCAACTGCTTTAAAGTTCTTTTCCACAGTAAATTAAATTTTAATGAAACTAATAAGCGCCTTTCCACTTTTACCTCTCAGCTACTGATGACGGGATGTACCTATATCACCACAGATCTCAGCTCTAACCAGTGTTTCAAAGTTCACACATATTTTCCAATGCTGCAGTCATCCATCTGGTTACTGAAAAAATCACTAACATTACTTAACTACTAAAAATTATATTACAGTTTAGTAAAGTGAGACTTTGACTCACTGTATCTTTAGCGACTCTGGGCAAGTAAGTTCTCTTTTGCTCTTCTGTTCCATATGTGGTAAACAACTTATTTGTTAGTGTATTCTGGAGTTCACATAGAAGAGCTACAGCTGGATCAACTTTGGCCAATTCTTCTACCACCAATATGATTGAAAAAAATGAAGCTCCAGTTCCTCCATATTCTTCCCCAAGCTCAATACCCATCAGCTGAAACGTAAAAGATGCAAATATATCAGTCTGTTCGTTCTTGTCAACAACTTGTTAGTCCAAGCTGATCCTTAAGAGATTAAAATAAAAACCACAGAATCTAAATATTTCCAGATCCTTCCCCAAAGACCTGTGTCCCTTCAATACCCTTAACAAACTAACAGTTCTTCACAGAAGTTGAGAGTCAATTCATGCAAGAAATAACTAACGTGCAGTATACAGGCCAATCATCACCCTAATTTGATTACATTTTCCAGAACAATTGCAATCTCAACGGAAGTCTAATATTTAGAGTTGTCATTGTATAAAATGACATTCTAAACACAAACAAGCTTTAGGTTTGATAGCAGGAAAGGCTAAAATTGAATCCAGGAATGATCAACAGGATATCTGCAACACAAGTCCTTGTGGTTGCCCAGTAAGGACACAGGGGACTCCTGATACCCTTTTCCAGCAACGCTTATCAGAGTCATGGCGATTCTAGCATTCTGTGCAATTATGCTTATCCAATTAAAAAAAAAAAAGGCGGGGGGGAGATAAGGAACTCAAAGATAAGACAAAGAATGTGGTATGGGAGTGGGAGAGATGGAAAGAATATTACAGGAAAAGATGGAGAGTGATAATGCAGTAAAAAAAAAGAGAAAGTTGCCCTGCTGATGATAAATCCAAAATTTGTAATGATTCATTCGTTCATTTGAATTATATCCCTCAATCTTTTAATCTAAAAATCCCAAAAGTGCACAGCTAGAAATTCATAAAATGATGTCACTTTCTGAATAAAAGATTAAGTAAAAGTGTGCAGACCCCTTGTTCAAACAATCCTTGTATTACAGAGTCTTCCATTTTCGAATTCTCATCCATTTTTTGTACCAAAGGTGCAACTCGTTCCTGAGCAAATTTTGTCACTGTAATGAAGAGAGGAAAGAAAGTGTGTAAATATTCTAACACCCTACTTGAAGACCAATATAACAGTAATATGGTACTTCTGACAGGTAATGCATGTATCCCCTGACCCTACCAGACAAGTTAATAAAAGGACAAAAAGTTGCCCAAATGAAATGAGGTAATGTGCTGCAAGGCTCAATTATAATTGCTTTCTGAACTCAGCTACAATTCTCTAAACTGAAACAAATAATTCCTATAAATTAAGAAACTTTGAAAGCATCTCAGAAACACTTACGTAACACTGGTTGACCAAAAAAATTATAGAAATATTTCAAATACATCCCTTATTTGGTTAGCTGTATCGTACTTCTTTATAAATTAAACCTGCAATTTAGGAAGATGGTCTCAGGCTTTAACGCATGTTATTTTGAGCGCACAAAATCCTGTGAGACTGTTCCTGTTTAACCAGAGCCTTTTATAAGCTCTCTCCCAGATGTGCAGGTCCTCACTCTTTCACCTTTGCTCTGAGGATCCCTTCTGAAACACTGCCTTCTTCGTGCAGGCCTGGCTGCACTGCAGACACTCACATCACATCTGTCACCATTCTGGGTATACTTGAAATCTCTGAAAACTAGACGGAGCAGTTAACTGTAGCTGAACTAAACACTTTAGAAAGGGCACGAGTCAATGCCAGGCAACTTCACTTCTGTGACAGCAACAGTTTTAAACAGTTAATACTTATTTATGCAGAGTAAACTGCACTGTGGTATGTGGAACAGTGCTATGGTAACGTGGAAAAAGAACATTACATTCTTCTCTTCTGAACTAAAGCAGTTTTAACATTAAGTAACCCCTCCCCAACAATCTCAACATTTAACTATAATTAAACAATGAAAATAAATTTTTAAGCTAAAATTTCCCTTCTAGTTAGATATTTCTGAATTTTAACCACACAGATAATAGGTACCCATATTTTTCAGCATTGTCTCCTCTTCGGTGAATGTTTGAAGCGGAGCACAGACAACTCCATCACTGGCTAGATTTGGCATGAGTTCTGATTTGGAGGATCTAAAGACACATGGAGAAGCCCTCCAAGAAGCCAAGTATGCTGGCATATTTCTTTTCAGCTGTTGACAATAAATACAGAACATCAGAACAGTTAATAGAATTTCTATTTGTAGACAGACAGCAATACACAATTTTATCCAGTAACAAAATAGGAAATATAACTTATGTTCAATGTCTTGTTTGAATGTTTTTGAGAAGATACAACCCCCCCCGAGTGTCCTAAAAGAAAATGTCCTTTAATTACTCTTCTTTTAACCCCAAACAATTTTCTTTCTGGAAGTTTGCGAACACAATGTTATTCTATAAAGTATTCACAAACATTAATTTTAGTCAATTTTAGTGTTTACAGCAAATAAACCCTGCTGAAATTTTATAGATGATTTTGCAAGTCTGCTGCAATATTCATAGTAGTAAGTGTGTATTTTGATAGAATTAATATCTTCACTAACAAATATGATAAGAGTAAATGTGAAATAGACATACGAATGTTTTTTACAGAAGACCTGTCAACTTTAATGATAGACTTAGCTTTCTCCCTGGTTATCTAGGGGCCAGCAACTCTCACTTCTAAAGCAATCTGATAGCACTTCATCTGGATTACTGGTGTTTTACTGTGAAAGGGCATAACTTCAACAGCACTGTGGATTTTTGTATTCAAGCTGAGTTCTTATCCACCACTTCATGATTTTCAGAGTGAGCACACATTTCATAGACAAAGCCCTGGCTTTTGAGTGTTTCTGTGTAGTTAATTTCTATACAGTTAGTTTAAATTCTATAGTTAGTATGTTGATAGTACTGTGTAACAAATAATTAATGTCTTATTTTAAATTCTATAGTTAGTATGTTGATAGTACTATGTAACAAATAATTAATGTCTTATTTGGTTGATTTATTAAAAAAGTACAGGAAGGAACTGAAATTGAGTAATTTATGCTTAACCTCTCCCCATTCATCCACGAAATACAACAATCTCAAATGATATCAAGAAGCACTGGTTACCCAACCAAGAGAGAAGAGGTATTACAGAGTGTTTTACTCTAGGGGGAATGGCGTTAAGCATATGTGGCAAAATCTGACAAGTCACAAAAATGAACAGAACAGACAGTGGCTTTTGGGAGCAAGCTACGCATAGTGATTGTCAGGTGGGTGGACATAGATACTGTGACAGGTAATTAGTTTTGTACCTTGGAGAACTATGAACTACTTAGTGTTCAAAGACTTACTCAAGTAGGTAACAGCAGGCTTTAGAAAGGAACACATTTGGTTTGAAAGTTAATATACTGTCTAACCATAGAATAACTTCTTAGGATTTTAAAAAAAGTTAGCATCGTGAGTATGATCTGGCTCAAAAAGTAACAGACTAACAGTAGCTAAACCGCTGCAAAATGTATTCCTGAAAAGCAGTATTCCAAAAAAGAAGCACAGTTCGACTGACTGATCTCAAAAGAGGCAAGACAGAAAAATCACTTTGCTCTCATAGCTCCCAAAACCCAACTTATTTTGTGGCTAATGTCTACAGATCAGATCTTTGCTACAGATATCCGTCACTATTGCTATGTCAGTCTAAAGTGTGGAGATATTAATGTCTTACCAAGACAACTGCTGACAGAAACCCCCAGCAGAGACACAGCAGTGCCATAAAAATAATGTATATATGAGCATTTGCCTGCCAACATACATTTTTGCCAGTATGCACTCTTAACCCCACAGCAAGCAGACCGACTGACTGTGCTATAACCAGACTGCTATTTAGCTCACAGAATGCAGGACAATTTTGCAATGCACACTGATAGCAGCATTCCTCAAAAAATGGCAGAAACTTTGGGGTCAGGAAGTAAAAATTCCTTTGATCCTTCTAATAATTCACTCTCTTTCATGTTGGCTTTCAACACCTGTCATCTCCCTGGCCAAAGAACTGATGTAAAACAGATCTACGGACTCCTTTTGTCTTAGAGACAAGATGCACAAGTCTATTACGGTAAGGAAACTCCGACTTTAGCACAACCAGTCATGCATGACAAAAAAAAAAAAAAAAAAAGTGGTAATACAGAAAACAAATATTGCTGTGAACATTCAATGTTCATTCACATTCAACACCCCGGTCACGTAAAACAAATACTGACCAGTGGGGCTGATTCACGAATACAAAGTTTGGATGATCAGCAATAGCTGCAACACTTTCAAATGAAGACTAAGTTACTGGAGTCACCGTAGGTCTTCACAGAAAAAAAAAGAAAGAGTTGCTTTAATAGAGATAAAATCCAAGGCAACCATGTTCTGGAAGCTGTCAGTCAGGAATGGATTATTTGCAGAACATCCAGCTATGACAGAGTCACTCAACACCCAGACATGTAAGACTATTAAACATCCACCTGCGTAAGTCCATATTCTTAGCAAGGTCTGAGAAGGAAAAACCTAAGTATATACACACACACACACATATATATATTTAACACAGTATGCTTCCTGAGCAGTTATAGGATTACAAATCACACATACTTCCTGCTTCTTACACTACTTTATTTCCAAGTACAACGAAAAGAGCATTTTTCTTTCATGGTGGCATAACCAAAGACGAATCACTGAGAATATTTCACCAGTACTGACCAAGAGCTGTCAGGAAGAATGCACGGTGCCTTTTTAAGAATACAAAACTTTTTGAAAAGCTGCAAGTAGGTATGCTCAGTAGGCAATAAGCCAGTACTGTTGGGATTACCTCTACTTTCATTTGATGGCACCTGATACTTGGATGTAGAATTATTGACCACACAGGGGAACGCATCACTAAATGCATGCAGAGGAGACTGCCCCGTCCAAAGCGGGAAGTACAGATTTTGTAGACCACAAAAAATACACAGATTTTTCTCATATGCTTTCATGAAAATGGGAAGCTGGACAAACTTGATTAAAAGCAGCTCAGCAAGGTCAAGCACAAGTGCACAGGGCTGCACTGGCTGAGGTGACCTGCCAATAGCCTGGCTAGCAAGTAGAAGCTTTCAAACACAGTAAACGGCTCAGTGTTTGTTACAGGTTACAGCCATCACAGCAGGCCCACTCTTGGCAACAATGCCAAAGGTTTTGAGAAAGTCAGCTCTCACAGTAACTGTCCCTTAGCTCATTTCCCTCCAGTACCCCCTAGTGGAAACCACCCCAGGCTTTCCCCCCTGCCCAGAGCTTTCACTTGGAGGCTCTTCCACTGCAATCAACTCACTTCAGAGTGGCAGAGAAAGGTGTCCTACCGCGGCAGGAGAAACAAAGGCAGCCCTTAGCGTATGTATGCAGACACGGTTTGATAAACGCTTGTTTGATACCTGATTGAGATGGCGCTAGAGGACAAAAGGAATATTTATAACAAGGTTACCTTGAAAAGTCTTAAAACCAGTAGGATGACCCCAAGGGACAGGACCTACATTGGCAACACCCACACACAGAGCAGCAACCCACAGGTATGCCAGAGTAATAGCACAGTGTAGAAATGATTTTTTTATTTCAACATTTAGATAAAAAAAAAAAAAAATCAAGTCACTACGTTATTGTTTAAATTTTTATTCTTAGAAGTCATGCAGTCATATAGTATTACTAACTTTCAGATAGTTATTTAAAGTGCATGTACGTTACTCAAATGCTTTGATACTGCTTCCCTGCTTTTTTCTCCCCCTCTTTTTCTGTAGGTGAGGTAATGATTTACGCTGCTACAAGATTCAGACTGCTTGCCCTACTAAACACATGTATTTGAAAATTCGTTTCTGGGTTGCTGATAACATTGATTTTTCTGTTTATCTCAATTTTTACCTCCACTTCAACTCTTTAAAGATCAGTTCTTTTGGTTTCCTTCTGTTTGCTTTACAATCTAAAATGAGATTTTAATGCTGGTGGACCTGGCAGCAGCATTAAGATATAAATAAAAAAAGGCCAAAGCAATATATTTTCCTAAGCTCACTGTGCTTTCCTTGATGACTTCCACTCCTGTATCTGTCCTAGCTGGCTTCCAGACAGCTCTTATTTCTCAGCAGAGAAGCTCCATTGCAGGAAGCTTGCTTGCCCTTATTTATGGCGTTGGTTTTCTTCATTTCAATTGTCACAACAATTGAAGCTGCCATGAGAAGGTCCCAGGCCAGCATGTCTTCTCACTCTGCACAGTAGAAGCATGTGTGTGGCACAAACCCAGGTTTTCTGCTTGTTTCCTTTGTCTTTTCATTACCCCTACAATGCCATAAGTCTTTTGTCTGTTCAGGTAAGTAAAGGAGACATCAAAGCACCTCTGCTGCTAGAACTGTGCTGTCTTCTCATAGGCGTATCAGCCACGGGCTGCTCCAACTACAAGCCATTTCACAAGACTTTCAAGAACTTTTCCTAGCAAGAAGTTACCTAATACCACCCCTCCATACAAAAAACTCAAGACAGAAGGAGAAGAGGGCTTTACAAACCCACCCTCACTCCCTGCAGGGCTGCACTTGAACCGAGCAGACCCCGCACCCGGCCAGCTCCGAGCCCAGTGAGCGGCTCCCCGGGGGCCGCTGCGGCGGCGCCCCCGGAGACGCCTTCGTCCCCGGCAGGCCGCAGCCCGTGGCAAACACGGGTGGTACGTGGCA